GGTACACTTCACATATCAAACCCATAACCTTATGACAACAAACAAAGATGAGCGTCGCACGCGAGGCTCTGAATAAATGTTGCAGCGACGTAGGTCTTGTCATATTGATCAATCATGCGTGGCTACACAAGCAGTTACGAGGATGGTGTCCTATGTGGTACCCATAATCATGCGGCCCTCAAGGATTTTGAAGGTCGCTTTCGACACTCAAGTATCGGCTGACACTCGTCTTGAGAGGTTATTCTCTCGACGTAAGACAATCGCGAGTGCGATTGTGAGACCTACCCTCTTCTACACCTTGCGCAAGTGAGTGGTAGGCAATCTTCGACCCTTGGTAGCGGCCAAACGCCCCTGACCATGGGAGTGGGGCTCAATCATCGAAGGCGTGGAAACAAATCAAGGGGTTTGACTTTGACAACCCCCACGGACCGTAACGTACAACTATAAAAATTATTAAAAAAAAAACAAGTAAAAATGAATCTCGCTTTTCTCTCAACACAAATTTGCTCGACCTTTATGCCTGGTCAAAGTAGACCGCTCGGAATACACAAAGTAAAACTATAACGGGTTTATAAGACACGAGGTGATCACTCCCACAATCATAGTGTGACTCCATTCAAAAATATGCATATGATTGCATACAAGGTCAAATCCAAACTTTGACTCACAAAACATACTTGCAATTACACCAGAGATTCAACATCGACCGACCACGCACTACACGGAGTCAACTTCAACCACTCTTTGCACTCACACTTGCCCTATTTACATAAGTTTCAACCTTTGTCTACCCTTCCAAAAGAAAATACTAAGTCCTTTCTAAATGACCATTTAATAAAAGTCTGACTTAAAACACAAAGAAATATTTCAACCCACAGGGGCAAAGACCTTAGGTTGAGTAGCGAGAATGTGTTAGAGTTGAGCCGTAAACCGACGGATCGGCAACCAACCCACTATGAAAAGATAACAGAAATCGATCCTCGTAAGATCGGGTTGAAACTAGGTAGGTATGGAAAACAGGTCATGTAGAAGTCATGAGCAAAGTAGGTAGTAAGCCTCATATGCAAAAGGTAATGACAATTATGCAGAGATCGTAGAAAGAATTATAACAGAAAATGGCGTCCTCAATTATGCAGAGATCATAGAAAGAATTGTAACAGGAAATGGCGTCCTCGACGCATTTCGACAGCAGCCACGTTGTCGTCTTCAGGAGGTTTTTCCACCTTCGTTCCCGTACTAACCTGTCTTCCCACTATCCCACTATCCCACTCCCGTCTGCTCACCCTACTACGCTTCCGGACGCTCGTAGGCATCGCAGACGTTAGTCCCATCGAAGAGGTCGGACAAAATGCACAAGAGTCATATATATCCCCAGCTACAAAACGATATTCCTAGGTCCGTACCTGTGGTCTGGTAATATCGACAGAAAGAAGTGTTAGGACCAAAGACAAAACAACCGACATCCTACGCAGGTTGGGTCTTGTCTGAGCCTGCATCGGTAGGGGCCGTAAGGGCATAGTGACCAACCAAGGGGTGCTACAGGTCTGGTCCTACTGCAAGCAAAAGCTTCAAATAACAAGAAAATGACAAACAAAGACTAAAAATCAACAACCCTCAAAACCGCTACAACAGCCTCTACCACCAACCATCAGAACCTTGTCACGCACGATCCGTGACCCAAAGATAAAAAAGACAACCAAGTCCTAGTCCCGCGAAAAACAGATAGCTCCAAAGCAGAACGTAGGAGCGAAAGCACACATCACAAACGACTAAAAATCAACAACTCTCAAAACCGCTACGCCCGCCTTTACCGCTAACCATGAGAACCCTGTCACGTACAATCCGTGACCCGAAGATCAAAAAAGACAACAAAAGTCCTAGTCCCTCGAAAAACAAATAACTCCAAAGCAGAATGTAGGAGCGAAAGCACACAGCACAACTACGAGGGGCATCTAACAATGACCTAGATCAGAACCCTGTCTGAATGGTCCGCAGAAAAGCGGTACCTCCTCACTACGCAAAGTTACAGTTACCAGTGTCATACAACCGGTCCAGTTCAACAGACAGAAATCAGTACTGACTATCACATAATAACGAAACTAACCACAAGCAAAATGGTAATCACACAATATCATAGTCAACATAGTGATGCATGCTCGGTGCTAAACAGGTCAATCTTCCAATAGCTTAGCAGTGAGATGCCGAATCTCATCTCGCCTGAAAGCAAACCTCTTCAGGACACTCATGAAAAACTTGTCAGGGAAGTCAATTATGGACAGTTCCCACTTCAGGGTCCGTACTCTCCGTGGGATCTCAGAGCGTACAGTTGTGTTCCTGTCAATGCGGTGTAGATGGCTGCTTATCACAGCGCTCTTTTGTTTCTTGCACCCCCAGGACAGGTACGACTGTCCGCAATGGAAAATTAGAGGTTCATTGGTCCATACCCGGTCATTGTTCTTAGAGATTTGCACGCAGTTCAAGTAGGGGTAGCTCCGCCTCATGCGTATCTGGCAACCCAGAAAGTCGAAGATTCCATAATCATTGTCTGTACGCTTCAAAGTGAGGGCCACAGGATAACACTCCTGAAAGGCATTTAGGATCACACTCCTTCGTGGATCATTAGCAGTAATCGTGACCATGACGTCATCAATGAGTCTTGTACCAAAACACAGACGGGCATTTGACCCGATGTTGTGCACAAATTGAAACTCGAAGTAAGCACAGAAGATGCGAACCAAGGGCGGGCTCGTGGTTTTTCCCATGGGGATACCAACCAACTGTCTGAGCAGGACCCCTGTGGCAAAAGTGTACGTGTGTTGCAGTTCCAGTTGTATAAAGCTTCTCATCTCGTCGAAGTCCAAGACTCTCCAGTGGTCAGCACCTGTTGTGAGGTCAAATGAAGAGCCTTTTCCTCTGGTGTTCACTCTCACCATGTGTCGCCCTTTCGTCTTGTGGAAGGTGAAAAGCCAATCATCAACTGCCTTCAGAATCTCGTCGTGCGGGAGGCGACTAAACATCTCCTTGATATCAAAAGTCGCAGTAAATACAGCATCACCGCTTCCCTGCCTCAGAATCTTCGCGTTGACCTCCCTTAGACATCCGGCCAGCATAGAGACTGATGGTAGATTGAAGTGCCAGCGCTTGGGGAGTGTCTTCAACAAATGATTCAACCCCTTCGATACTGCCCGTCCCGTACGCACCATAGGTTCCATGAAGGTTGGACAGATAGGTCTATATCTGTCCATATCCTTCTGTTTCGGTAATACATATGCAGAGCCAAAATCACCATCCTTATCCCACTTGACAAACTTCCCTAATTTCCGTGAAGTAACGTCCTCCTTGATCTCCCGCAGTACCTCGGCTGCTGGTGATCTAATCACCCTATACTCGGGATTACGAACGAAGGTGTTCATCATCGCCTCAAAATACAGGTAAGGGCACAAGGCCATTGTTTCCCCCGGGTTACGATCCAACGGGGTCAGCACCAGGCCGTGAAGCTTACTCTTCAGGTCAGAGACATGTAAAGACGATAGTTGCCGGTCGTCGGGGGATGCCCTGTTCCCCACGCACTTGCTCAGCTTCTCACGCAGAATGTCCAGTGGTTCCCCCGTACAGTTCCTCCACTGCCTGAAGCCTTCAATCAACTCATCGTGTAGAAGACTGACCCTATCTTCCTTAACTACACGAGGTACATTCTTAGCATTATACACCAGTGGGTGAAAACCTGTTACTTCATTGAGTCTAAACCAGACGTGGCCCCCCGATCTTAGGAAGGGCAAGCCTACGCAGTTGCAGACTAGCACATCGCGAGATGCAAACACTCGCTGATTGTGCACCATATCCGAAACTGTAGGGTTCTTAGCCCACACAATCCGGACCTTCTTCCGTGTCCTACTCAGGAAACAATGAGGTAGATCACCGCTCATCAAGGTGTCGTTAATAACCTTCCTAACTTCGGAAAGTACAATCCTATCGTCAAATTTCACACGAAAAACAGGATCAGCGCTCAAACTTAGATTGAAACGCTGAAGAAAAATCATGGAGACTAACCGTCGTAGATAGTTCCGCGTCGACTTACGACTAAAGTCCTTGATAGCACTGTACAAACGGAGTAGAGAACGTAGGTTCCATCCATACACATCATCCAGCTTACCCGGATTTCGGAGGATTCTTGTAAGAACTGATTTGAGGTAGTGGCACTTAGGCTTCCACTTCCACCAGTGCACAAACACAACCTCACCTCCCTTCTGCATAGCCTGTTTTGCATCTTTCAAGGAGCAGTCCTTCCCATCAAGTCTGATCTTCGTATCACCGAAGTCTCGTTGAATCCTCTTCCAACCTCCCTGCCACACGTTACCTCCATCTATGGTGATGGTGACATTAGTACGTCCCTCAGCACATGCTTCATCCAGAACTTGGTACATGTCTATACGCCATGGTTCAACACTTGATCATCGGGCTCTCATGACTTTGCAAAGTTGTCCAGTACCCTGCGTGCAACTAATCTTAGCGCGCTCTCTCCTCTCAGGTTTCCGTTTAGCGTTCTTCCCGAATGTCTTCTTCCCGGTTGTGTTCAGAAACGGCGACCACTGCTTGATGTAAACTCCTTCGAGTTTGGTCAAATCCTCCCCGTCGATGTGATCTACTGGAAGCAACAAGTAGTTGTCGACTCCGAAAGACATCATCCATCGGTGAAAGTGTAAGGGAGTATGCTCCTTGCACACTCACACGTGCTCGCGCCATCGTACAGTAACATTTTTGCAAGTCTTACCCACATACAGGGATCTACAATAGGGTGAGACACCAACGTAGACGACGTTCGTTAAGTGTAGAAATTTTATGCCATGCTTGTCATACATGTGTAACCAAGCGCCGACGAACTTCTGCGTCCATCTAATAGCATTATCCAACGACAGACGCAGGATAATGAGTCGCATAATCTCCTCGACCCGTCCATCTAGGCTAGTCGACCGACATCGCAGGTCAGTAAAGAACCTGCACAGTTTCCACAGCAGCGGTATCTCCCAACAGTATCAGTTCTTCGGCTCATCTTCCTGTTCCTGGCCGGCTTCACTTTCGTCAACTTCTATGATCTCGTTCTTCTCCGAGATGTCCAACCCGTACTTTTCACGTGTACGGTTGTCCGCAATTGCGAAAATAGCATCCACCTTATCGCCGTAAGGCACCCCTTCCTCCTTGCATAGTCGCTGCAGCTCGGTGGCATCACAAGCCTTGAGTTCCTCCATAACAGAGTTCCGAAACCTCAGGCTCTGTAATGCGCCCTTGGTAGCTGGTGTGGCAGCTTGTGCGGGCGACTTCATCGGTGTAACCTTCCTAGGAGTACGGGTCTTCTTACCACGATTCAACAAAGGAGTCTTCACAGGTGAGACCCTCTTGATTGCACCAGGGTTCTTCACGGCCGTCTTGGACCTGGTCAAACGAGCAGTCAACTTCATCGGTTTGAAAGCACCTCGCTTCGGAGTACGTTTCGGTGGCACCTCCATAGGCGGGCTGTCATCAAACAAGGGTTCTAGCCCTCGCTTTCGCTTCTCGGAGATACACAACCGCTGAGCTTTTGCGCTCAACTCCTGGGTTACACTCGTATCGCTTTCCTCCTCCTCAGGTTCAGGTGGCGAGTCACAACCGGATGCGTAAGTAACCTTTTTTTTGCCTAACCGAATTAGTTGCCTGAGCGGGGCGATCATGTGCTCAACGCTGCAAGCCACGTTTTCCTTCATCTCACTAAGTCTGATGGCGAGCTGAATATCGTTATCTTTCTTCAGCTCCTCGCGTCTATCTGCTTCACGTTCTGCCTCCTTATGGAGCTTCTTCACTTTCTTCTTAGCTTTTCTCTCAGCTCGTAACTTCTCCTCCATCTCCCTTTCCTCCGCTTCCCTCTTCTCCTGCTTCCGCCGTAGATTTTCTTCCTTCTTCAAACGTGCTTCCTCGAAAAAGTCTTCCATTGTTGCCACAGATTGTCCGAGCTTAGCAACCATGTCCATAATCTTCGTACTCGTATGTGATGGTGAGTCATAGCGCCTTCGATAGTCCGAGCGTCGAGGAGAGTGGTTCCCTCGTCTTTTCGAGGATATCGATGGTCAATCAGAGTATGATCTCCGTCGGTTCCTCTCCGGGCACTGATTTGCATAGTGCCCAGGTTCATGACACATGAAGCAGGTCGACGCGCGGTACCTCCGTCGATCGTCATCGTGTCTATCGTCGGATCGCCTCTCATCAAAACGCCTATCATCTGTACGGCGATTCTCACCCCTGGTACGGTCATCGTCCCTACGTTCATTTCCCAACATCTTCGAGGTAAGGAAACAAAGTCGCCGTACTGACGCTGGCGACTTGATAGCTCGGTACTTCTCGTCTCTGAAGACGTCACCCGCCGGCGGTCCTATACCTGAAGTCACTTCGGTTGTTGTGGCGTCCACTTACTATCGGATCTGACCTTCCGATCTTGTCACTCTCGAGACACGTAACCACATCGGCTTCGGTACTTCTTCATCTTCTGGTCTTCGTATCTTCGTCTTCCTCGGGTCTTTAAGTCTTCGTCGCATACGAGCTTCGACCGACAGTTGGTCCACAAAATAGTTAGAGTGATGAGGTTACCATCAGGTGTCAAAACTATGTCAATACACGGTCACTCCACCCGGTAAAGTTGACTTTCAGGTAAGTTAGCGTGCGCAGTCCGTAGGTATGGAAAACAGGTCATGTAGAAGTCATGAGCAAAGTAGGCAGTAAGCCTCATATGCAAAAGGTAATGACAATTATGCAGAGATCATAGAAAGAATTGTAACAGGAAATGGCGTCCTCAATTATGCAAAGATCATAGAAAGAATTGTAACAGGAAATGGCGTCCTCGACTCGTTTCGACAGCAGTCACGCTGTCGTTTTCAGGAGGTTTTTCCACCTTCGTTCCCATACTAACCCGTCTTCAGGATCATTGAAACTAGTCAGATCTTGAATTGAAATAATAAAAAAGGAGCTCTTACACAACACATGTCAATTCCCAAAAATAAACTTTTAGACTTTTTAGTGTATGGAGAATAAACCCCCATATTACATCTCACTCAAATTCTCCTAAAACTAAATATAAATTTACTTTTCAATGGGTGTCAGAAGAATAAGAAAAATTTTGGCAGCATCTCCCATGTACATGGTGGATCGCCAAAGTTTTCCTTATCAAAATATAATCTAACTCCTCAAAACTAAGAAAATTTTGACAACACTCCCTTTAAAGAAACTGCATTTTCAGAATTTATACTCAACTAAATATAAAAACTAAAAGTCATTTTCGATTTGACAGCGTCAAACTTTGTCTAGCTATCTGAATTAGTAAAAAGTTTGTCAGCATCTCCTTTAGAGAAGTAGGTTTCTCATATTTATACCAAGTAAGATATGAATTTAAGATAAAACTTGAATTCTGCCAAGAAAAAACTTAATGAACTCTTTAAATTTGTAGAAATTTCGGCAGCACTTCCCCTAGAAAAAATATTTTTTCAATATTTGTATGAAGCTAAATGAAAAATATAAAAATAACTTTGACTTAACAAAATCAAATTTTGTCGAATTCTCTGATTTAGTAAAAAATTGAGCACCACCTTTCATAAGAAAGTAGTTTTTCTATTCTTTTGTTATGTCGTAGATTAACTCACTAAAAAATGAATTTTGTAAAGACAAAATTTGAGTAATTTCTTGGTTTTGCTGAACTTTGGGTAACACTTTCCTTCGCGAAAATGCATTTTCAAAATCTATGCAAAACCAAGTATAAAAAAATAAGCTTAATTCAAAAACATGCAGAATTTTAACTAACTTTTATAGCTTCAGCACGTGACGAACATCTGAAGCAACTACCTATCAAAGTAGAACTCACTCTGAATCACATACAAGTCCATACCACAATGAGTAAGTACTCTCACTAAAAAACCTCAACTTGTTTCCTCATAACATAATTCATTGATCCTCCAGATGATTAACCATTTACCCATGTTACATATGGCATGACGCTATAATATTCTACTTAGAAACAATGCCTAACATTACTTTGGTTATACACAAACATATTGCATAACTACTTTTATTTTTTTTGGGCATGTGACTACACCATTATGCTTAGAAACAATGTTTAACCGCCCCGAATTGCTTAAATATCCAAAATTTAATAATTATATGACTTGTCGTTAAAATATGGGCATTGGACTTAACCATTTTACTTATAAACAATGTTCATCCTCTCCAGCCTACTTCCAATTATACTCTTGGTTTTACTTCTCTTAGTGATATGGCTTAAGTCGAACCATTTTGATTAGAAACAATGTTTAACTGTCTGTTCACACGCAAATGTACATAAAGTATTTTCAATATATACTCAGTTTGCACATATATGTGTGGCTTCATGCTAGACCATTCTGCTTAGAAACAATGCTTGGTCTTTCACTAAAATTATCCCCCAAAATAAAACAAGAAACTTGACCATTCTGCTTAGAAACAATGCTCAACTTATCTCAAGTTGTATAAAAACATGAAGTTTGACAATTTTGCCCAACTTCAGTCAATACCAAACCATTTTGCTTAGAAACAGTGTTTGACCTCGCAAATCAGACAAGGAAGCCCTTGGAAATAAACACAGCAACCATGTTATTCTGCTTATAAATAATGTTTGACCCTTCAAAAAACAAACAAGAAACATAACACTGGGTCCTTTTGCTTAAAAACAATGTCCAACCTTTAATTGACCCGGTCAAACACATGCAATACCACCTTGCTCCCACCTTTCTACAGTTCATCATTTAGTTTATTTTCGGTCAAAACAAAACAAAATTGAATTCACGCATGCTTTCCTTTTACTTCATCTGATTGAATTCTGAAAAGAAACAAAGACTATAAGAGAACGCATGCGTAACCTCCCAAACAAACTAGATAGACGTAATTGGAGGGGCATAGTGGGCTCACACATTAGGCAAAGGAGGTATACTTGTCAGTTCTTTTCCTTGAGAACCTCGCCTAGGTTCCAACAGAGCTCATGGAATCGGTGGGGCGAACCTCCCACAAAGGTCTTGGCGCGGATTACGGGTTTCCAATCCTGCATGCCACCTTCCTCTTTGAACCAATAGACTAGACTGAGAGTAAGAAGGGCAGAAAAAAAATCATTAAGTCGCCTAGATTCAAGAAAGTTGCGCTCAGACTCGTGTGAGATAGTCCTGGAACCTTCAATCTCCAGAGGCTCCCGTAATGGTGGTCAAATGCGCAGTAGAGCGTCCAAACTGTGGTTATAATGCAGAGTAAGCGGCGCTCTGACGGACCTCGAAGTTGCAATAGTGACCCTCTTGCAGCGCCTGATCACTTCCCCAAGTGACCACGCTCCAACCACTGGCCAAATCGCAGCTACGCAGCCTAGAAAGGCCATGTTGAAATAGAGCACACCCCCTATACTCTATTTGAGACATGGGTAAAACTCAACTAAACTCAACAGAATTTGCGTTCTCATCAACCGTTCGCAACAACAAGGCACCGTGAATGCGACGACGATCGTAGCAACAACAACTACCACAGAAAGCACAGCATAGCCAAAGTAACAGACTCCGCACAATAGGAAACGTACCGCACTAGCGCAAAACAAAACTCAGTGGTTGCGTAATCACTGAGCAGTAACAACTCGAGAAGGACATAATTTGAATCGCAACTATAACAGCAGGCTATGAAGTCAACAACACCGTGTCTTCAAAGCAACAATAATAACAACCTAAAAGTCAATTACAACCACAACAAGTGGAAGGCCAACACCAACCACAGTACCAACCTTAATCGTAATCAGCAGTTCGGACATAAGTGCAGCAAGTCACTTGGGGCACACAACAGTAGTGGCAATGGATATCTCCCAACAAACAACCTCCCGTTTTGCCTAACACTCAACACACATCATGGTAACTGCAGCAGTCGGACACCAATCCACAATAGCAATGATTCCTCAACAATAACCTCTCCCATAAACTGAGTACAACAACTTGGCGAAGCGATGACATACATGCCCAGTGGTCGGCCCAATACCAAACTCACCTCTGCTGGAGAACTGTCGCAGTGGCCAGGAGCCCACTGCTTGCAATCAGAGCTCAACCAGCACCCTCTGCCCTAGGAGTGGTGGAAGTTTGTTGACGAGAGAAGAGCACGAGCGGTCAGTGGGCAACAATAATGAGGTGGGACATCACAGTTTTGGGTCGAGAGACAACAACCTAGGCAACTTCGGGTAGCGGCGGCAAAGGTAGTATGAGGCAGCAGTCAGTCACAGCTAACTCGATCCCTACTCCATCCGATTCCTTCTCCTCCTCCAGATATATTATTCCTTCATTTTGTTCCGAACCCCTTTTTAGTTGTCCTCACCTCGCTCTCTAGAATGCACCCGATCGTTCCACTGACCCGATTTGGGATTCGCCCTTGTGCAAGAACAAGCGAGGTAAGTGCGATTTTCAATCATTAAAGGTGGTGGTCACGACCAAAACGGGAGTCAGGCGCCTTAAGGGGGACGCAATAGCAGGAAGCAGGGAAAATGCCATGAGAGTGCCTATAGCCAATTGCGATTGTGATCCTTCACTCACTAAGTGTGCATAATGAGATTGAATCTTTTTGTTTGATTATGGGAAAATTCACCAACACGTTTCCTGTTCCGTACGTGTAGTCGCCTCGCCCTCTACGACCAATCTGACCCGAACCTGATTCCCTCCTCGCTGTTCTCAACCTTTTTTTTCCCCGCAACTCAACTTGCTTGTCTCACTGCTTTCCCTTCCCCGTCTCTACTTACTACACCTATTCCAGTTTGCAACCAGGTTCATGCCAACTTCGCCAACCTAGGTAAGTGTCCCGTCACCCGATCCTCATCTTTTCGCTCTTTAACCCCTCCTCTTCCTACTTCAGTTTCCTTTACCTACTCCTTCCCCATCATCCCTGTCGATCCTCTTAGGCTCACTTGCACCGAAGTGCAGGAGCCACCACGAGGTGAGGAACAATTACTACTATCACGACGAACAAGACGGACACCGAGATGGTAACCAATTTAACAACGAGCTCGGTGATCAAGGCGATCATGAACAAATGCAATCAACCATGTAACCCCTTCTCCACTACTCCAATGCCAAGGCTAACACTACCACCGTACTTGCCCCGTGCCAAAACTTCAGAATCGACTTTACTTCGGCTGATTCCGTCGACTAACGGACAAATTTCACCTTCCCCCCCCTCTTTTATCTTCTTCCCCATCACGTTCGTCATCCATTGCCCTCTTTTTCTCGTCTCTGTTGACATGTACACCCTCAACCTCCTTCGTTCGTAGCCACGCCCCGCTCTCGTATAACCCGACAACCTTCGATTCTGAAAACAAAACTCCCCGCTGTCAGGCCCCGCTGGTTTATACTCTCCTGTAAGCTAGCCAGAGAGCTCTCACAGTAACCTCGCCTATTGCACCCGCCCGCTATCGGGTGCCTTATTCATGATTAAAAAAAAAACTTAATGCAGGGCTCATACTAATGTTTTCGGTATTGTTCCAATTTGAGCGGATGTTCCAAAGGACTGACGTGAGGCAACGACTCCGAGATAAATCTCGTACAGCTGGGCGGCCCCGGGGTATCAAAGTTACGACACTTCTTTCATTTGCTCCCATTGGAGATCGAACTCCAACCTGCATTTCAACAGTCCGGAAATGTACCAAACTGAGTTAGACCAGCTGGCCCCACAGCCGGGTGCGAGACCAAACGCAGGGCCATGTCGATCTTCTCTGTCCCGATCCAATTTTAACAGATGTTATGAAGGACTGCCTCGCGGGCATGGTTATGGGACACTCCTTTAAACTTGGTTGGTCCCTGGTAATTCAGAATTGTAGTATTTTTACTCACATATTTCCCACGAAGCCAGAACTTATGTTTGTATTTCAGTAGTTCGTGGGCGTACCAACTGAGCTAACCCCGTTGGTCATGGAACCAGCACCGACACTGTGTCCCAGAAACGGGACCGGTAATTGACTTAAATGAAATGAGAAAAAAAAAAAAGGTGGTACATAGGGTGAAGGGGAGTCGTTGGCAACCCCTTTTGCCCCACTGATCGGACCCGCGGTCGAGATTATCAATAAAACCCAAAAAGGGATGGTCATGTCGGACTCTCAATCCCTCGATCTCCCTTCAAGTCGCTCCCTCCCTCCTCCATGGCCGGTTGTTGGCCTCATTCCCCGAACCTTCATGTTGAAAGTCCACTACCACAACCAAAAGTGTTAGGTCCAAAGTTGGGTTTAGCACTCGTGTACACTTACATAAACGGTTGCCACGTGGTGCGTGACCTACTGAAACACTGCAAAGCCACCTCTCTGCCTATTGGTCGCATCCACGACCACCAAGCTCCCGCAACTACCACGTGGAGGCCCGAGCTGTGTTTTTATTCCATCGCTCATTGCGTTCACCACACAAAAGTCACATTGTCATCGGAGCCGGCCTCCACACGAACCCGCGCGCATTACGGTCAAACGTATCAACCAAGGAAAATATTACTTAGTCCTGACTTAATCAAACATAAAAAAACTAGCCGGCATGCGTGCTGGCTCATAATATCAATAAAAGAATCACGGGCGTTTCAACGTTGCATACCCACACACTCCCTATCTTTCCTCTAAACAAACAGTTGATCATAGGAAGGAAAGTTTGTCGTGGTTCACGCGACACACAAAACTTTCGTTCCCAATCTTCAAAAAAAAAAAAAAATTATGTCATTTGCAAAAACCAGGGCGGATACCCTTATAAAGGTATTCGCACCGACACCAAACGCCCGAAAAAACAACCTAGTTTTTTTTGGATTAAAAAAATAATAAAAAATCCTAAAACAATAAAAAAAAAGGTGTCCCTACTGTAACAAATATTTTAGTTCTCGTTTTGATTTACCTCTTTTTTTAAATGAACGCCTTGAAAATTTATTATAATTGGGCACAGTGCCCAAGACTACATCAAAGAAACAAACCAGGGACACCTGACCTCAACCTTCAAGCCCCACCCATATAATAAACAAGAGAAAAAAACAACAAAGGCTATGTCTGAAAAATTCGTATGAAAACAAGAACCATAAGAGTGGAGTCCTACCAATCGAAAATAATTACCGTGAAAACACAAAGCTATCTAATCGAAACAACTTCGAAGCGAACCCTTTCACCAAGATAAATAACATTGAAAAGAAATCTTACCTATCAGAGACACATACCACAAAGCGTTCAACGATCAACCAAATAACTATATATTGTAGCTTCAAGAGTTGTAAGGTTTATCCCATAGTTATCCAAGACAATAATATCATGTTCTGTCCTCCCAATCGACAACATTAAAACGAGTTACCTACTGCAGGCAGTATCACATGCTACAATGCACGACGAGAAAATTCAAGATTTTGGCTCTGAATTTAAGCACGACCCTTTACATATGGTGAACCGGGGGTGTTTGTTTCATCGAATTTTACACTGAAACTGACAAATTGTCCATATTTTTAATTTTTTTTTTTTTTTTTTTTTGCGATATTTAGGGGCTTTAGGTTTTTATAGTGTTTGTGTTTGTTTTTTTTTTTTTTTTTGCTTTAAATATATATGTGTGTATATATATATATATCATCACAAACAGAACTGCCTGGTAAACCGTAGGCAGAGAGAGAGAAGAGGACAACAAACGAGGGGCATACACATATATATATATATATATATATATATATATATATCGTCAAATATATATATATATATATATATATACACAGCCCCTCGTTTGTTGTCCTCTTCTCTCTCTCTCTATATATATATATATCGTCAAATAGAACTG